AATGGCCAACAGACACATGAAAAAATGCTCAACATCACTCAGCATTCGGGAAATGTAAATCCAGACCACTTTGAGATACCATCTCAGTCCAGTCAGGATGGCTAATATCCAAAAGACTGAGAATGATAAGTGCTGGAGAGGTTGTGGCGAAAAAGGAACTCTCGTACACTGTTGGTGGGACCGCAATATGGTGCAGCCTTTATGGAAAGTGGTATGGAGGTTCCTCAAACAATTACAGATAGATCTACCATATAACCCAGCTATTCCACTGCTGGGAATATACCCAGAGGAATGGAAATTATCATGCCAAAGAGATCCCTGTGCTCCCATGTTTATTGCAGCACTATTTACAATAGCCAAGAGTTGGAATCAGCCCAANAATTTTATGTGAAGCAAATCTTTTCATAGAACAATGAGTTAAGCCCTACATACTTCACTTTGAAAAAAATAATAATAAAGTGATGGTTTTGACAACCTGCTTTTATAGAAGGCTCATTCCCTCATATATTTCAATGAAAATTTTAAGAATTATTGTTAAAAGAAACATATAATATGGAACACAATATATTACCTTCATTTCTATGCCTTTTGTTGCCCAAATACTGTTATAATTTAGAGAAATAAGCAATTTGAAAATGCATATTTATGGTGATTCCATCACCAAAAATGTAAGAAGGTTGCAACTGTTGAATTTCTTTAAAGTTTACTGCATTTCTTTGGAATTTATCTTTATATATACAATATTTAAAATTTTATACTTTATACATAGTATATTATATGGAGAGAGAGAGTGGTTTTTATCAAGAAGATAAATACTAATGACATTTTACTACTTAATAAATTTAATGTGCTATAAAAATATTTAGTAAAGCATCCATTGCCCAGAGAGTGCCCATTTAGTTATTTCATCTAGCAAGGTTAGTACAGTTGGCTTAAAAATATAGTTAAACTTCAAATTTATACATTTATTTCTTATTAGTTTTCTCAGATATTATATAGTTTCAGAACCACAGACTGCTCCTGCCAGCTATCTTGAAAATTCAGGCCATTGATGAGAAGCAGATGGAGTTAGTGAATGATACTGACCTACGGATGAATTCATCACAACTAGAAAATTAGTTCCAAATCCATGCTCTACTGACTGGGTTGGCAGAAGTATACATACTTTTAAAAAATATACTAGTCTATTGATTGTCAAAAGAAATGCAAAATGTGGCATTTCTCAAAGGAAGATATACAAATGGCCAACAGACACATGAAAAAATGCTCAACATNGACTTAGAGAAAATTATATTAAATGAAACACATCAGGCACAAAAAGAGTGTTCTCACTTATTTGTGGGAGCTAAAAATAAATAAATAAACAAACACAAAAAAATAAAGGGGGGGTAGAAGACACAACAATCATAACAATTCCTTGAACTTGTTCAGACAAGTGAACAGATATGATGTGGCGGAGCGGGGAGAGAAAGGGAGAAAGAGGAACGGGTAACGGGTCACAAAAATCAACTACAATGTATATTGAGAAGTTAAAATAAAATAAATGAAATAAATGCAAAATGTTAATGCAGCTACGCTAACAAAATTTGCTTTTTTTCAGGTGTTACAAACACATCTTCTGTATCACCATCATCTATTCCTACAACAAAAACATTTGTAACAACACCAAACACAACATCATTACCAATTCTTGTTACCAAAGCAACAGCTGAAACATCTCCTAAAGGTAGGATTAACTCTTAGTAGAATTTAGTTTAACTTTAACAAGCAAAATTAGAGTACCTATATAATTTAATACAGGAAAATAATTCAGGATCTTATGTTTGAATGTTATGAAAGTCTGTGCTATTTCATTACTTTGGAATCCATGTGTTATTTTGGGTTGCATGCACAACCCTGAGTTCTCAGAGGGCTTCTTTGATGATATTCTTTTGGATAACTTCCTGTTTGAGAATGATTGTATTCTGAATGTTACATGCACAAAGTTTATTTTTAGAAAAGAAAAAAGCTACCATGTCCCAAGTCATAAAAATATCTTTCTAAATATCCCTGTTCTCCACTTCAACAGCACAGCCAACAAAGTGAAACTGTGGTAACAGACTGATTTGTTGGTTGTATTTTGCTCATAATAGATTTAATTTGTAGGTTTCAGTAGCAATATTATCATTATTGTTACTGAACTGAGTGACAACAGCTTTAACATGTTTTCTGGCTAGGTATTAAAGGGGATTACCTTATCATCCATAAAAATTTAAAAAGCCATTTGAATCATTCAGTTAAACTCAGCAGGTTATCAATCTAATGCATACCACATTTCCTGTCCTGCAACACACGTATAATGAGGCATATCATTCAGGTGCCATAATCAATGGAGGAGAAAAATAGAAATGTTGGCTGATCCCTTATGGGCAGAAACTCTGGTTAGAAAGACCAGAAATCATAAACCCTGATGAATG